CCATGTTTCGTCGACGGTCACGAAACGACGCAGAAACTCCTTCGGATTGCGCTTAAACAGCGTCAAACACTGCTCTGAAGTGGTCTCACGGTTGCGCTTGTTGTCCGGAGTGAGCAAACGCGGCACCCATCGCGCCGACAGCTTTCTCATGCCCAAAATTTCATGCAGGATATGACCCACGCGGAATTTGAGATGCCTACTGTCTCAGCTATCTCGCGCACCTTCAATCGGCGGTCTGCCAATACGAGATCGTGGATTTTTGTCATGTTATCCTCCGTGGTAGCCGTTTTCGGGGCACCTGGGCATGGCTCATCAAAAACCGACGTGCGCCCACGTTGAAACTCGTTAAACTAATTTTTGACGGTCACCATCGAAGGAGAAGAGTCACCGTCACACATCCAAGCGCTCTTTGATTTCGCTGCGCTATTTCCCTTCCAAAAACAAGAATCGAATCACCGACCGATATTGCTCTTTTTCCATTTTTCTAAAATCCGCCGACACGCCCGCTTCCACATGCGGTCAAAACAAAACTACGAGTCCGATTCGGCTGCAAATTTCGACAGTAGCCGTCTACGAGAATGTACTACACGATAGTAAATTTCTCTTGCGATAGTGGCGCCATCGGGCGGTGAGGCTAAGTACTTATCGGACCGCCCTCGTAGTGTGGAATAATAGATGGCTACTTAATAGGACCGTTTTTTTTTTAAGAAAATCTGAACGCTATGATCTGAAAGGTATGACAGATTACTTGTAGATCAAATAACTCCAGCCATACGAAATATTTTTCCAAATAATTTCGAAGAAATTTCGAAATTATTTGGAATATATATTATATATTTCGAATATCATATATCATATATTTCGAAATAATTTCGAAGAAATATGGTTTCAGCATGATGGAGCTCCTGCTCATTTTGGTTTAGGGTCACGTCAAATTTTAAGACTTTGACAAATTGAGACTTTTCCATTACGATGGATAGGAAGAAGGAACAGAAATGAGGGAGGAGAGGATTGGCCACCTCGGTCACCAGATCTAACTCCTCTTGATTATTATCTATGGGGACACCTGAAGAGTAAGGTTTACAAAACAAAACCTGAAAGCATTTAAGAATTGATACAGCGAATAAGCGATGAACTAGATTTGATACCTTTTGAGACGAATCGTAGAGCCATTTCTGCATTCTATCAAAGATTGGTATATTGTCAGGAAGTAAATGGCGGTTACTTTCAGCATTTACTTTAACACACTAAGTAAAATTTATTTTGAAACACGGAGTAAAAGGTTTTGAATCATTAAAGAGAGATGACAGTTTGCAATCGTTTGTTTTGTAACCTATCACGACTATGCATACAACACATTCACACTTGTTTAGCCATACACATGCACACACATACATACACACACACACACACACACAAGGAATCAGATTCATGCCACTTCCACGCAATTGATCCTGAATAACACTAAGTGCATAAATTTCGAAATTTTAATGGCCGCCATTTTTAATGGGGGAATCGTAGCGACTTAAAATTTAAGGGTGTGTTTGTTATGAAAAATACTTTCAAATGAGCCCCCACTCGACCCTTGGTCCAATTAAAAATTTTCAACCCCCTTTTACCCCGGCGTACCAGGGGGTGGGGAATGATCGGTATCCCTGTCATAGGGTAGCTTTTTTGAAAAATCAAAATACGTGTTTTACCGTTTTTTGATATTTTCGTTTTTGCAAAAATTATTTAAGCGTTTCCACACTTTTGACAAATCCTGTATAATATTTACATGTGTTCAAAAGTATTGAGCCGTACTCTTGTTGTGACTTTATGAGCCCGGTTTGTTTACGTTTCTTATGAAACTCCTTTCTAAATATTTGCTTTAACTAAGGTTCAGTCTATTGTCTACCGCAATACCGAAACATACAAGCCTTCAGTTATGCAAAGCTGTGATTAATCTTTCTCAACAAGGGAAGGTTTCTCGCGAAATTGCTAATTGCTTATTAATTGATAAAAGTACTGTAAATAGGATTGTTGCTAAATATAAGTTGATGAAGTCTCTAGCTGATAAACCACGAAACGGTAGACCTCGTAAAACTACAAAGCGCGTCGATAAAATGATTAAAAGAAAGCCGATAGTAGATGTTAGAAAAACTGCCATGAATATTTCTCGAGAAGAAAATCTTGCTGATGTTAGTCGAAGTACAATATCTCGACGTCTAAAAGAAATAGAATTTTTAGGACATGCTGGTGTAAAAAACCATTAATTAGTGCAAAAAATAAGAAAGCTCGATTAGATTTTGCAAGGAAATTTGAACATTGGACTGAAATTGATTTGCGATAAGTACTTTTCTCTGACGAGTCAAAGTTTCAGTTATTCAGAAGTGACAATAGAAAGTATATACGACGCCCAACAGGCACAAGATATGACTCAAGATACCAAATTCCTACCGTAAAACATGGTGGAGGTAATGGTGATGGTTTGGGGATCATTTTCTTATAATGGAGTTGGTCCATTGGTTGAGATCACGGGTAATATGGATGCTATAATGTATCGAGATGTATTGACACAGCATATGCTGCCATATGCAACTCGAAACATGCCACGTGGTTGGATTTTCCAACAAGATAACGATTCCAAACATTCATCAAAACTAATAAAAAAATTTTTTATCATGAAAAAAATGCAAGTTCTTGAATGGCCCTCACAATCGCCGGACTTGAATCCTATTGAGCATTTGCGGCAAAAATTCAAATTACGTATAGGAAATAAGAAACACTCCAATAAAGCTGAATTGTGGCAAGATTTGCAAACTTAATGGCAAAATTTACCTCACGATTGCACTTCTAATTTAATAGCATCAATACTTCGCCATTGTGCTGCAGTGATTGCTTCTAAAGACATGGCAACAAAGTATTAAGTTTAAAAAAACGTTAACAATATTTTCTGTTATTATTTTTCAATAATATATTTTTTTTATGCATAAGAAAACTTTTTGGCGTAATACTTTTGCACTGTTTGTAATAAAACATTGTATAAAAATAAAGTATTTAGAATTATTAAGAGTTTGTAAAGTTTATATAATTGTAGGACAAATAAATATATTTTGTTTATATATATGTGTAAAGTTTTTAGCGCTCATTATGAAATGAATATATAATAATAATTGTGTGGCTCAAAAGTTTTGCACGCTGTAGATGCATTTAGAATGAAAAATACTAACTTTTTCCTCCATACAATGAATTTGATAAATTAATAATTAAGCCTGATATGATTATTTTGTTAATTGTTAAAAATATTTTTTTATCTTGATCAAACCTATTTTATTTCTCATAAAAAACCATACAATTTTTGTTTAAAAAGTTTTTTTCTACCTGCAACAGTTATCGAGGTAGCATAAAAAGGATGAAATTTTGAGGGGCAGTTTCACCCCTTAAACCTTCCTTTACATTGCCTGTAAAAAAATATGGGTCTCTTATTTTTGGCTACTCTATAAATATGCCAAGTTTTGTCGAAATCGGTGACACACACTTCATGGATGTTCATTGTGAGTTATAGGACATCCTGTATTTTTTTCTTAGTAAATAATATCAAAAATTCTAATATAATAATAGAGTATTAGAGTACCACTGCTTTTCTAGTCAAAACAAAAGGGAAGAAAATTGCGAGGTTTATTATTTCTTCAGTTTTATTATATTTAACTTGAGTTGTATACAAATGATGAAATGTGCCTAGAATGAGCCGTAAAAATATTGTATAATAGAAATATAATTTATTGTTGTTGTTGTTATTGTTAATGCTCCGCATTTTGAAGTATATAACTTAGAAGTACTCAAATGCAGGATTTAATGTAGTAGTAAAAACACTAAAAATAAACTATATCGATATATCTTTATTCGCAGTCAAAATATGAATTATAAAATTTATAACAGATCGGAGAAAATATTTAGAATTTCGAAAGATATAGTATTGAAATGTCATTCTGTAAAATTAAATTTATAAGCAAAATGAATAATAAATTGTGAGTGTAGAATTCACTTCGTTGTATTTTTACTTTTACTGACGTATGCGTGTTGCGTATTTTTATTTTGTAATTTAATTAAATTGATTTAAATGTTATATTCTTCTACTGGATGAGAGTCGAAATTTATTTAATAGTTGATACAGGATATATTAGGCAAGGGTTCTGTATCTTGAGCGTTTAGAGATATCGAGGTTACATTTTAAATTTTAGTTAATTTAATTGAAATTTGATTTAAATGTTCATATCTCCTTTACTGGGAATTGAGATCGAAATTTATGGTGGAATGTTGATACAGGATATATTGAGGCAAAACGCGTTCTGTATCTTGACCGTTTAGGAGATACCAAGTTACATTTTTTAAATTTTACGTTAATTTTAATTGAATTTGAATTAAATGTTCATATCTCGCTTTACTGGGAATTAAGTCGAATTTATTAATAGGTTGATACAATATATTGAGGAAAACGGTTCGTATCTTGACCTTTAGGAGATACGAAGTACATTTTTAATTTTACGTTAATTTTAATGAAATTTAATTTAATGTTCATATCTCCGTTCTACTGGATTGAGATCGAAATTTATGTAATATTGATACAGGACTAATTGAGCAAAAGCCTTTGTATTGAGTTAAGATATCGAAGGTTACATTATTAAATTTTAAGTAATTTTAATAAAATTTGTTTAAATTTATATTTTTTACTGGAAATGAGAGTAAATGATTATTAATAATAAGTAACATAATTAATACAATAACGTGATTTTTTAGTTAATGATGATAAAGACAGTTATTTTTTATCGGTTATATTATATTTTATATTATTAATAAATGCCATTGAGTCTTAAAAAAAGTCTTTAAGACTTGGTGATAAAACATAACGGAAATTGTAACGATTTGTTACTTTATGAATGACAGTAATGTTAATGAATAACGGTACTTAACAAATTATTTTCAGAAAGTAACTTCTCTCTAATCCTGTTAAAGTGATCTTACTTTGTTGATGCTCGTACTATTATTAAGATCAAAAATAGTTTACAGATGTTTTTTTGTTTATTCGTAAAAAAAAATATTTTGACGTGTAAAGACGAAAAATTGAGGAACATACCGCAGAGATTGGAATATACGTTCGAAGCTTCCAGAAATGACAAATGATGACAATTGCGGTTGCCTACGATGTACGGTGGCTTGCCGATTTCGTTGCCACTTTAAACATCAAACAAAGTGAACGTTATACGATTAGTTCAAGAGATGACGTGTATTAGTGTGCACGTGACGAACGATGTTCTAAATTATGAAATTAATTTTTCTCTATGATCATAACATGATTTTAAATGTACTGCTTATTTTTTATGATTACTAGAAGGATCTTCAGATATGATTTCTATGTTTAACACTTACGTTGGTCCATAATGACAGACATAGAGCTGGAAAATCGTACGATCCGACGCTTTATAATGAGAATATCCGCATCCGATTAAATAGGTTGCCGCCCAAGCGAGCTGTAAAAATAATAAGAGAAGCGTCTCAAAATTTTTGAAGCCTTGTTAGGATTTCTTCGGTTTATCCTCTGTCTAACTATATATTACATAAATCCATGTCAAAAAATCTCACGTCAAAATCGCCACGTTTGAATTTTTTAAATCATTCAAAGCACTGTGATTTACCAAGAGCATGCTCACTGTAAGTTTCGACAAGCATTCCATGCTATTCTGCAGCAGTTTTCTTCAAATGGTAACAGAAAATCAATGCTGTCCGCAAATCGTAGCTTCCAGACACAAAATTCGACATGTTCAACGCTATTACAAACTATGCTGTTGTATGAAACTTATATTGTTGTGAATTGAAAATCTTTGTCAGATGTCAACAAATGGAAATGGCGCCAATGACGTGGTTTGACGGTAACTACATTGACAGCTAGGGCCATCTTTGGGCAAATTCCGGTTTCATATTTACACACCTGGTAAGTATACAGGGTCCTCAAAAAGTTCGGGAACGCTAAAATATTTCGAAAATATGAAAAATACGGAAAAATGTTTGATACAAAAGTTATAAGGTTTGAAAAGATCTATTTAGTAGTCATATCAGTTTGATCATGGTGGCGTTGCTAAGGTCATATGAAGGTCCCTCCCCGTTGGTGCCACCTTAACGTGGTGGGGAGACTTGAAGGTCCCAATGATGTACAGAGCTGTGCCGGCGGGGGTTTCGGCCCCTGGCAGGTTCTACCATGCCGGAGTGGTCTGTACGGAGGGACTGGACCAAGAGCACTCGACTGGGCTGGGTGACCAGCCTGGTCTTGGACCAGAATGGTCACAGAGCGGGTGAGAGGAGATCACCACCCCTGAAGGCATTGCACGCCGATGCTCCGGCAGGCGACAGAGATGGCCTCCTTTGCACTCGCTCTAGGAAGGGGACTTCTCTCTCCGAGGCATTGCACGCCGGTGCTCCGGCAGCCGAAGAGAGAGAACACTTTCCTCCTGCCTCGGTTGGACCGTTATGGTTAGACCGGGGTGGAGGGACGTACCCGCACCCAGGACTCCACCCCATGGGGATCCTCCCCCCATGGGCCTGGGTGGCGGAGGAGTGCTCCGAGCCGCTCGGACGTTTCCGAGATCGGGGTTGGGGTACCCTTGATGCGTCTTAGGAGGACCCCTTTCTCTGAGGCATTGCACGCCGGTGCCCCGGCAGCCAAAGGGAGAGAGGACCTCCTTCCCTCATCCGTCACGGTCATGACTGTGCAGACGGAGAATCCCACACCCGGGTCTGCACACCATGGGATAATTCCAATGGTACCTGAGGGGTAGAGGGGTGTCCCGGGCCGCTCGGACTTACTCCGAGGTCGGAGTCGGGGCACCCTGGGGTGATGAGGGGAGAGGACTCCATCTTCGTTCAAGGTGGATCTCTCCGACTTCCCTCACCCGTTCAGCTTCGGCCGGACGGACAGAGAAACCCACACTCGGGTCTGCACACCATGGGGCTTGCCCCATGATACCCGGGGGGTGGAGGGGTGTCCCGGGCCGCTCGGACGTATTTCGAGGTCGGGATCGGGGCACCCTCAAGCGCCATCTAGAGGACTCACTCCCGGAGGCATTGCACGCCGGTGCTTCGGCAGCCAAAGGGGGTGATCCTCTCCCTCATCCGTCCCGGCCACGGCCGGGCGGAGGGAGGTACCCACACCCGGGTCTGCACACTGTGAGGGTTTGGAACCCTTCACGGTACCCGGAGGGTGGAGGGGTGCTCCGGGCCGTTCGGATGTACTCCGAGGCAGGGCCGGGCCCCTATGGCCCCGAGGGAATGCGATCACATCACCCTAAAGCGGACCCTCGGGCGGCGCGAGTTCGCTGGCTACCATGGGGGAGGCGTTCCCGGTGGAGTGCGACACCGGTGAACTACTTCCTTCCATGGGGCCCCACGCGTCGCGGCGCTCTGCACGGTGCCCATATTGTCGGAGTGTGGGACCCCCGAAAGCGGTCTGGCCACCAAAAATGGTGGTCAGGGCGCGTGTAGGGGGCGGGAGGCCAGTGCCGACGATGTCATATTCCGTCGGCCCGTGCCATATGGTGCTCCTCTGGGGGAACCCGGAGGCTCCCCCTTTCCGGGGGGATACGGGCATGCTCGGGCACTGGAGCCGTGCAGAGTTGTGGGTTTGAAACCAAAATGACTGATTCCTCTTATGACATTTCGGACCTGGAACATGATACGACGACCTTGGCAGGAAACAAGGACACGAATAATCCGGAGCCTATTTATGGCTCGAAAGGGGACACAGTCCCGGAAAATCAACCGAGCAGCAGCCGGCTGACGAGAAGGGAGGGACTTCGTAGTGCCACCACCAGCAAACAAGCTGCGAACCCCCGATCCAGGTCGAGATCGCCCATCAATGTGGACGAATCCTCGTCAGATACTGTATCCTCGGATGGAGGGAACCCCAACGGGAAAAAGTGGGACATCCCCAAAAAATCCAATGGAGAGACTGACGAGGAAAAATTTGCTGAGAAAGCAACCCGGAAAAGAGGAAGGCCCGAAACTATGGGCGAATACAGAAAAAAGATAGAATTTATGGCCAGGAAAAAGAGCTACCTGGAAAAGAAAATGGAGGAAAACCTTATACAAGGTTTAGAGATCCCCGCAAAGATATTCAGAGATTGTACATCAAACAGGAAATACAAAGCGGAGGTACATAGAGTAATCAAGTACCTCGAGGATGCCCCCTATAGAGACGTGGCTGTTTCAATCCTAGAGGCATCCATGAAAATAGACATTAACGGCCTAGGGATCTCCAAGATCAGAACGAGACAGGGTGTCACAGGAGCCCTGATCTTGGAGATCCCGGGAGAGAACAGACATGCGCAGGCAGATACCCTTACAAGCAAATTGAGGGAGGTCTTGGCTGATAAAGCCAGAGTCACCCGTCCGCAAAAAATGGGGAAATCCGACTCCGAGGTCTAGAGATATCTACCTCGGAGGAGGAGGCTGCGGAACAGATAGCACAAGTCGGGGGATGTGGAGTGGCAGAAGTTCAAACAGGATTGATGAGGACAATGCCATCAGGGTCCAGGTCGCTATGGATGAGGTGTCCTCTAGCGGCGGCAAGGAAAGTTGCTGAAAGAGGTACGCTGTCCATAGGATGGACGCAAGTTAAAGTGGAATGGCTGGATGTAAGGCCACTGCAGTGCTATAAATGCCTCGAAAGAGGGCACGTACAGCAAACTTGCGACAGCAAAGCCGACAGACGGCAAAATTGCTACAGGTGTGGGGAAACGGGCCATTTAGCCCGCAACTGCACTGCATCGGCAAGATGTGTAATCTGTGCTGAGGCGGGCAAACCGGCGGGTCATCGAATGAGGGGCCAGCGTGTCATCCCCCCAGTAAAAGAAGAAGAAGGAGAAGGGAAGAGGAGCAGAAAGCGGGGGAATCCGCACCGAAACTACCCGCGCTCCCTTCCCTCCCTGAAGGAACGAGGGAAGAGGGCGGAGTTGAGGGACCTGTACTCCCCCCCTCCTCTACTAGACGTGGCAAACCCAGTCTCCCCTGTAATCGCAACGCAGGAGGAGACGCAGGAGATGGAGGTGGAAAGGAGAGGAGAGAAACGTCACCGGCCCATTGAAAGAAGTGGGAGCGAGGACGAGGAGGGACCAGCGGAGAAACTTCTAATCCAACTATAATGGATACAAGGCTCCTCCAATCGAACCTGCACCGCGCTCGGCAGGCGTTACCACTCTTTGAGCACACCATGACCGAGCGCGGTGCAGGATTGGGAATTGCGGCGGAGCCCTACAGAGTCCCCAAAAACCATCCAAGATGGTTTGGGGATAATCAGGGCTCCGTAGCAATAATATGGAAGGCGAGCGGTAGCTCACCTCCTGCTACCCATTTGAGTAGCGGGATAGGTTATGTCGTGGCCAGGTGGGGGGTCCTGACTGTGGTCGGGGTATACCTCCCCCCAACTAAGAGCCTGGACTTACCGAGCTTTGAGTCCAGGCTCCGAGAAATAGGGAGGGCCGTTAAACGGTATCTCCCTGAGCCTGTCATCATCGCCCGGGATTTCAACGCGAAGTCGGAGTTGTGGGGATCCGGCGAGGTGACAGGCGGGGGGAGGAAGTGGAGAATTGGGCTGCGGACCTTGACCTGCACCTGCTGAACGTGGGGCGTAAATCAACGTTCGTGGCGGGGGGAATCGATCATCGATCTCACGTGGGCTTCCCCCGCGGCCCTGAAGCGGGTGCGGAGTTGGAGGGTGGCGGATGAGCTTGAAGCTCTTTCGGACCATTTTATCATTGAGATGGTTCTGTCCGTCACCCCCAGGGCCTACGGCCCCAACGTCCTAAAGTAGAGCCCCGACCAGGGAGATGGTCTCTGAACCAGCTGGACAGGGAGGCCCTTGAACTCTCCCTGGAGGCTGCCACCTGGCCACGACAGATGGAAGGGCGGGACCTTGACTCTGAGGTTATGGAAATAATGGAAATGATCGCACATGCGTGCGATGAAGCCATGCCCAGAGTCAAGTCCTGCCCAAGAAGGTCCGCCTGATGGTGGATCAACACCATAACCGATCTCAGGCAAAAGTCGGTCCACTTCAGGCGGGCCTTCAGGAGGGTCAGAAATGACCCTGATTCGGACTCCGAGGCTGTTCTGGCCGCCCGCAGGGAGTTCTGCCTTGCGGCAGCATCTCTGAGGAATGCGATTGGGGCGGCCAGAGGAAAAGGGTGGGACACCCTCCTCCTCTCGTTAGATGCGGATCCGTGGGGGCGTCCATATAGGATGGTAATGAACAAGTTAAAGCCATGGACGCCCCCATTGACGGAGACGTTTGACCCCCGGTTTCTAGAGCGGGTCATGGGGACTCTCTTCCCGGTCAGGAAGAAGGACCCCCCATAGGCCCGTATATTTTTCCCACCCCTGAACTACAAGGGGTGGTACCGGGGGTCACAGAGGAGGAGGTGGCCGGGGCCATCAAAAGGGTCAAGAGCCGTAAGGCACCAAGACCCGATGGAATCCCCAG